TCCATAGATAGATGATGTTACTGCTAATTGTATCTTTTAACAGGCAGTTCTGCTCTCACTCCAAAAATGACCACAGTATAAAATATGATATCCCATTATCTTAACTGCATAATGTGTTTCTTTTTATCCACATAGTGCTTTGGCAGGAGGATGGGGAATTACAAACTTGGTGCAGAGAGGATGTTTTGTGAACCCTGAAATTAAGACTGCCAAACTGTATGCGAAACGTTCCTGTAAATTGTAAACTCACGCTTGTACATCTCTGCTATTGCTATTAGGACTAAGCTCTGCCATCTGTGTAGTGTTTTACAGCAAATGCATTTGAGTTTATTGATTTGTAGTCTGGAGTGTATCAAAGATGAAAAAAAAAGTAGGTGTATAATGCATTTGAGATGTTTGAAAACTCTTTGGTGAGTCATTTTTTTGTTGTGCAGTACTGTTTGACCTCAAATCAATAAGCTTTTGTAGTAATTTTTGGAAGGTAAACAGACTTTCAGAAATATGTTAGCTCTTGCTTAATGGGTGATTAACAGTTAACATACTTTAGGTAAATTTGGGTGTTTTTTAACTAACACATTTTGATAGTATGCTGATTTCTGCCATTTTTAACAAACAGGATGGAATTAGTTAAACAGATTGATAATATCGTAAAATATTACAGAATTCCTCAAATACATTACTTATATTCAATGATGTTAGTGTTGTGTTACTGTTAGTGCTTCCTGGAGGATGATGTCACTCAGGAATTGACTTTTGTTTACTAAAGGAATGTTACAAAAGGCGGGATGCAAGGTGGGATTGCAAACATAGAAAAACATCTATAAACTGTTTACGAATTAAACCAATATTTCAAGCAAAACATCGAAAAACATTCACTAGAAAAATTATTAAACACCTGTAATATTTCTTTACACACACACACACACACTTCTTTTTCTTAGGTTTTCCATCGAAATCCAATGATGACATCCACGCCTTTAAAGGTGAGATCTTTGATGGCTGAACAGTCCTATCCTGGACCCACAAGCTCTATTGCAGGTGGGGCATATGTATGTGATGGTGGTGGTAACAGTGGCAGTTATAGCTGTATTTCTCCTGGCTCGCTTCTGCTGTTTTCTGGTTGTCCTCTCCATGTCTAACGTATGAGCCCTATCTCTACACAGCTGTCACCAGAGGGTACGGTCAGCAGCAACGTCCTCCAGATCCTCAGGTCTGATCTTACACTTTCTCAAGGCGTTCTTCATCTGATCCTTATAGCGCTTCTTCGGCCCCCAAGCTGAGCATCGACCATGATGTAACTGGCCATATAGTACTCTGCGGGGCAGCCGACACGGGGGCATCCTTATCACTTGCCCCAACCACTGTAGTTGGCGCTGGGTAATCATGGCTTCAATACTTCTGCAGTTGGTCTTTCAAGTATTTCAATGTGAGTCACACGATTACGCCAGGTGATTCCCAGAATGCACTGAAGGCAGCTTATGTGGAAGTGCTCTAAGGACTTGATGTGATGGCTGAAGGTTACCCACGCTTCACAACTATAGAGGAGGGTGGTGACACAGACCGCTTGGTATACGGCGACCTTTGTGGAGGGATGAAGGTTCTTATTATTAAAGACTCTACACCGAAGTCTCCCAAAGGCAGCTGATGCCTTTTTAATTCGGCTCTGGCTTTCATTGTTGATGATCCTCAGAGAGAAAACTCCCCAGATATTTGAAAGATGGCACTACTGACAACTGTTCATCTCCAACAGTGAAGGCAGGAAATGTGGGTGGGACATTGGTACTCCATTGGCAGACCACTTCTGTCTTGGTGGTGTTGCCCCATCTGTACGCCCTCACTGCCACAGCAAGGGCAGTTTGTATGGGCCACAAAAGCACAGTCGTCTGGATACTGCAGCTCCAGGACCTGTTCTCTACAGATTTTTGTGGTTGCGTGTAGTTTCCTAATATTAAAGAGGTTGCCATCTAATCTGAAGTCCACTGCCACACCACTGCTGTTTTCAATCTCGTTTTGGAGAAGCTTGGTGACACACAGGAGGAAGATGTTAAAGAGCACTGGCGCTAGCACACACCCCATGCCTCACCCCTGTGCGTACAAGGAAGGGCTCTGACTCTTGTCTGCCTATGGTCACCCGAGCAGTCATCCCATTATGGAATTGGCGGAGGATGTTAACAAACTTATTGGGTCTGCCAAACCTCAGGAGGACATCCGATAAGAGCTCTCTTTGCACAGAATCGAATGCTTTCGAGAGATCAACAAAGGCCATAAACATGTCCTGATGTTGCTCCCGGCACTTTTCCTGAAGCTGCCGGGCTGTGAAGATCATGTCGATCGTGCTCCTGTTCTTACTAAACTGACACTGTGATTCTGGCAGCATTGACTCAGTGATGTTGTTAATAAGTCTCCGAAGCAGCACCTTGGCTATGACCTTACCACCAACAGAAAGGAGTGATATGCCCCTACTATTTCCGCAGACGGCCTTGTCACCCTTGTTCTTATAGATGACTACAATGTTTACATCTCTCCATTGCTGTGGGATGTTCTCATCAGTGATGGTGATGTACTGGTAGAGGGTGTGCATACACATGTACCCTCCCTCCTTCAGTAGCTCAGCAGGGATGTTATCAGCACCAGGGGACTTGTTGTTCTTAAGGGAACGGACATATGATAGAACCTCCTGGAAGTTTGGTGGTAGACTGAGATTGTGGATGGGAGGAAGTTCAGGCAATTCGTCCAGGATGGTGGGGTCTGCATCACAGTCTTGATTAAGCAGGGTGACAAAATGGTCAGCCCACCTCAATAGGATACTATTCTGGTCCTTCAGAAGTGTTTGACCATCAGCTGTTTTCAGCGAAGTGACGCAGCGATTTGTTGGACCGTAGATGGTTTTGACAGCATTATAAAAATTATGCATGTCATTTTTATCGGCAAAGGATTGGATTTCATGTGCCTTTTCAGTCCACCACTCATTCTGTATGGCCCGTATTTCCTTTTGCACTTTCCTCCTCGCTGCCTGCCAATGCTAGTCTTAATGGATGAAGGGTTGTCTAAAGTTGCCCGGTGTGCTTTTCGCATATCCTTAGGCAGGTTGTGGATGGTGTCTGAGTTATCGTCAAACCAGTCTTGGTGGTTCTTGCTCTTATAGCCGATGGATTTGGCTCCTGCATCGTAGAGCACAGAGTTAATATAGTTCCACTGCTGTTCCATGGTGTTTTCTGAGCTCAGACAAGTTTCCGACTCCCTAAGTTTCGTACATCGAAACTCACTTTTTGCTCCCATGTTTCCCAAGCGGTTACAATTTAGCCTCTTTGTTGGGCTTTTGCAGCCGCAAAGGGGAACACACTTTCAGATTGAGCTTGGCCACAATCATACTATGGTCGGTCCAGCACTCTGCACCTCACAATGATGAAATCAATCATGTGCCAATGTTTAGAGCGAGGGTGTAAACACACACGCATACACACACATATACACTTAGATAGTTAAATATTTTGTACAATATTTCAAGATTTCAGAAAGTGCAATATTTCAGAAAGTGCAATAACAGGAATTTTTTCTTGTTATTGGCAGGGAAAGGCTGGTGGATGTCAATCATACTTTAGAGATGGAATATTCCAATACAAGGCCGAAGCCGGCTCTGAGACTGACACTGATTTACTGAACACACAAGCACACGCAAGCGCTCATAAAGGATTGATTGGTGGATTTGACCTTCATCCAGCATAAGCAAACTCGTGCGCGCACAGTCTATCGGCATTGTGATAACTCACTCATGCTGGCAGCTGTGTGGTCTTGATGGCTAAACTCCTCCCCGGCTATATTGCGCTTGAGATTTTATCTCTTCGATGCTCATGGAACTAGACACCACGCTAAAACCATCATCATCACACTCTAAGACACTAGTTTTCCCTTAAGAATTAGCTTTAAACATAATAACATGATGCAGAGGGTTTTCTTAATAGCAAGTGTTCAGGTTTCATTATCTGAGTCGGTGCCTGTAGGACAGAAAGGGTGTACAAGATTAAGGAGTTTTTTGTTTGGGTTGCAGGGGTTTGTCTAGGACACACTTACTTTTAATGCAGATGAGACTAGATTTTGAGTCGGTTTATCTTTTAAAGAATGTCTTTAATGGACACTGAATGTGTGATTTAATAGCTGCAGTTCGCTAAATCGTTGTTCTTTTGGTCATTAGTAGCTGTTGCTAGTAGTCTGCAGTGCTCAAGTGTGTCGAGATGAATCAGTTGAGCATAATGACTAGACAGTGAAGCTCATATAACTAGTCAGCTATTATGGTCAACTAACTAGTCAACTAGTTAGAGTGTATAGTTTCATTTATATTCATTTAGTTTTTATATTTTTACTACTAGACAGTTCATAACATATAACAAAACATAACATCATATCATGTATCGTATCTCGTATACATGATACCACATGTCATAACCCAGCTCAGAGGTTAAGACAAAAAAGTGCGATGCAAGAATTTAATCAAAAGATAACCAATTTATTTACCAAACAAAACCACAATTAAACACAAAATGCTGGCAAAAACATAAAGGAAAAAACACGCAGGAGAGAGAACCCCTCTCTCTCTCTCTCAATAGGAAGGCAGGAAACTTTTATCAGGAAGAAAGACTCCAAACACAGGTGTCCTCCATCCACCCTCAGGATTGCAGGCCCACCCCACTGAAACACAAAGATAGCAAAGACAGGTATGCAGGCCGTCACATATTGTGTGACGTGACGTGATGTGACGTGACGTAACAACATGACATAATTACTTCTGTGCCAGAGAAATGTTGCCCTGATTGCAAAAATAAGTTATCAAATAAATCGAATAGAAAGTTTCAAAAAGGTAGTTTGTCTGTGGCTTAATTGCTTTAAAAAATGAGTAATAGTTTTAGAGTAGCTTCCCCAACACTGGTGTGAACGCCCATTGAATAGAGTTTGGTGTTTATTCTCCTGAAAAATGAATTTGTTATTCTTTGTGTGTTTTGCAGCCCCAGTGAGAGATCCCAGTCAGAGCATCATGTCATTTATAAACTACTGAAGGGAATCCACAGTCTGACCTCGCAGCTGGGCTCGCAGGAGCTGAAACAGATTAGTACCGTCACCACCGTTGAGACCTGGGACCGCGGACAGATCAGTGAGATACAGTATACACACACACACACCAGACACACACACACACGCACACACACAGTCACACTCACACTCTTAAAGTGCATACACTCTGAAAGCGATGGTGGTACTCAAAATGAACATTCATCATCATTTACTCACCAACATATTGTTAATTCAAATTACTTTATTTACAAAATAAAGATTTGTAAGAATTTTTTAAGGAATATCCTGGCCATTATTTTCAAGTATAATAGAAGGACAAAAGAGCACCAAAAAGTTATCACAAAAGGGGTTAATTTGATTGCACTATATTCAGAGTTTTCTGAACTCATACAATAGCTTTGTCTGAAAAACCATTTAAAATTTAAGTAGTTATTGCTTAGTATGTATTTTAAAATAATAACCCATAAGACTTGGTATAACACATGAACAAATGCTTTAAGAGTGTAGAATATCACATGGCTGTTTGACAGGGATTGACTTATTCTCATCTGGAGATGATTTAATCTATCATTTTCATCCACCATTTGTGCTTTTGTACAATGGCAGATGGGAAATTTACCACACTCATTTTATAAATGAATTGTGCATCTTTAGAAGTTTTCCTTTTTCTAGCTCAGCAGGTTTTTTAGATTAAGAACAGTTTATCCATGATATATATAGGCTTCATAAACAGTATTACCACACTGGCTTCTTCGGATGCAGAGCCTTGCAAAACATTTGGCTTTGAAATCACTCTCCAAAGAAGATTCTCTCTTTCAAAACTGTTAGTTTTATATATTATATATCAGTGGTCTCATGCAACATGATCTATCAAGACAAATCGAACACATCTTTCATCGACATCATCTTTCAGTCTTGCCTTTGAATATTGTCAAGTGTTTGGATGCGTTTCTAAAACGTTGAGAGCCCAGCCCCGCGTGCTTGATTTTCTATCGATGTGTCCATTCGTCTGCTAACCTGTGCTCAATAACAGCCACATGTTCTTTCAGGGCCACTAAGCAAAAACATAAAGAAAAGACAATTTGACGCAAGTATGAATTCGTGCCTCCATTCTGATAGTTACCATTTTGCAAACGTCTGGTGTTTTGGAGATGGAGATTTCTTTATTGATTCGTCTGGAGTGGTGGTAATGGCTGTGGCGTGTTGAATGTCACAGATGGAGGGGGGAAGGGGTTCGTTATGGATGCAAGTTTTAGCTGCAGATGATTACAGAGCATAAACACTGTGATTTGCTGTTGATAGCCGTCTGCGCCAGGCTGAAAAGTTTGCGTGTGAGGAGTGAGAGATGTCTGTTTTTCTTAGTGTATATTGAGGGTTTGCTTTCAGAGAGCAGGTTTTCATCTAATTCAGATCTTTGTGTAAAGGTGTAAATTTATTTGTCTTAAAATATAGATAGACGATTGAAAGGATATGAAAACTGCTCATTCCATAGTGTCTGTATATATATTCCTCAAAAGAATTTTGTGTTTTTATAGTTTGCACAGAGATGATAATGTATCGTTTTCAAAAGTTTGCGTTTTCAGGCCCACAAAACGCCATTGTCTTATAAATGATCGGCCAAGACGCATAAAAAGTTTTCTCTTTTAGTTGAAAACTGTGGCGTATAAATGGCCCCTAAATTTGAAATTCACTGCAACAGCAACAGAGAGAATTGCTCATTTAAATGCAGTTGTTTGGGTTTATTTCACAAAGTTGAATGACTTTTAGACTTTTAGAACCCATCAGCCAGCATCCATTTTTACATTTACCGTTCTGAATCATTGTAGTTTGTGGAATCTTATTCTACATGTACATTATTTCTGCACATAACAGATACAGTGATAAGATTCAGTCAGCCTCTTGCCCACCTGAATAATGGCGTAAAGTGTTTCGACCCAAAACAGCTGAACCGTAACTGTTGAGTGGAGAGTTTTCAAATTGAGTATGTTGTCTTCTTCCCTATTTATCTCTCCCTTCTTTCTTTCTGATTACAGTTTTCGGACATAATGGATTTTTCCTCATTCTGAAGGGCTCAGTGAAACCGTTCAGGCATGAAACCATTAAAGAGGATCAGGCAGCCTCTACGGTAGAAAATTACACTACTTGGCTATCAGTTGTTAAGTTTAAACTGGCCCTTTACCTAACCTTAAAAACATTACCATGCCTACCTTGGCAATTGTTGCTGACTACCATATTCTCTGACATTCTTTTGCTTTTTTTCTAATTACAGCCGTGGCCAAAAGTATTGGCAGTGACATCAATTTTGTGTTTTGCGAAGTTTGCTGCTTCCGTATTCGTAGATTATTTTTCACGTTTGTAGTGTATACTGGAAAACAATGATAAGGATTTCATAGGTTGATATGCTTTTATTGGCAAAAACATTCAAGATATGCAAAAAGTCAATATTTACAGTGTTGACCCTTCTTCATAACCTCTACAATTTGCTCTGGAATACTGGATATCAGATTCTGGGCAAAATCCTGACTGATGGCGATCCATTCTTCCCCTAATTAGTTCTTAGAGTTGGTCATAATTTGTGGACTTCTGGTTGTCCACTCGCCTTTTGAGGATTGTCCACAGGTTTGGTCCACAAAATATCTGATTAAGATCTGGGGATTTGCCTGGCCACAGATCCAAAATATCAATGTAATGATCTCTGAGCTACTTCATTATCACTCTTGCCTTGTGACATGGTGTTCCATCATGCTGGAAAATGCACGGATCATCACCAAATTGATCCTGAATAGATCTGAGAAGTCGCTCTTGCAGGACGTTTTGATACCATTCTTTATTCCTGGCAGAGGGCAGAATTGTGAGAGAGCCCACTGACTTGGATTAAAAGCAACCCCACACATGGATGGTCTCAGGATGCTTCACCGTTGGCACGACACAGGACTAATAGCGTCCACCTTTTCTCCTCTGGACAATCGATTTTTCAAATGTCCCAAAAAGTTGGAAGGGGGCTTCATCAGAGAAAACAACTTTGTACCAGTCTTCTGCAGTCCAATCCTTGTACTTCCTGCTGAATTTCAGTCTGTCCTTGATTTTCTTGGAGAGAAGTGGCTTCATTGCTGCCCTTCTTGACACCGGGCTGTTGTCCTAAAATCTTGGCCTCACTGTGTGTGCAGATGCACTCACACACACCTGGTTGTGACACGATTCCTTAGCCGACTCCTCAGGAGACAGTCCTGATGCTTGCTGGACACTCTGGGATGTCCTGAAGCCTCCTTCACTGCAGTTGAACCTCTCTCCTTGAAGTTCTTGATTATCCGGCAAATGGTTCTTTCAGGTGCAATATTCTTTGCTGCAATTTCCTAGCGTGTAAGATGCAAAGTGATTATGGCTGAACATCTTTCTTTGGAAGTAACCATTGCTAACAAGAGCACAATGATTGGAAGCACGTCTTCTCTCCTTTTATAGCAGTCGGTCTGCTCTTATAATCCAATCACTTTCCTCATCATCCAATCATGATATGATTTGGGTTGGAAAATTGGGATTTTTTGTGGCCAATGAAGCTTTTTGCTATTTTTAAAATGCATCTGATCACTCTGCAGAATAATCTAGAAACAATGTGAATCAACACCACAACAACCGAAGCAGAAAACTTTGCGAAACACAAAATTGATGTCACTACCAGTACTTTTGGCCACGGCTGTACAGTTAAGGTCTGTTCACACCAAGAATAAAAACTATAATGATAACTATATTAACATCCACACCAACGGATGAAAACTTTGTTTAGCGTGCTGCAGTTATGATTTTACAGTGCACACTTTCAAATTGGATGAATTTTGATTGGCTGTCAATGTTATTATCATTCATCAGCTGGACAAAAAACATCCCTTTACTGGAAAAGTGTGATTCCTTTGGATTGACTTGGTAAATTAATATAATTTCAGTTAACGTTAATTTCTAACATAGTGGTCACAGTTGTTCGCAATTGGCCTACCTTAATTAAGAATATTGTGGAATAGTTATGTGTACAGTAGTTAAGTGCGTAATTCAACAATTTCTTTAAAGAAAACTAGCAGAAATCATTCATTGTAATGTGGCAGTTTGTTCCATCCCACAGAAGAATATAAATATTGCATCCAGTAGTGAAGCTTGTCGAATCTAGAAACAGTATCTAAATTGGTGCAGGGTCAATTAAGTAAATAATGTCCCTGAGTTCTGTCCTCTTGAACAATATTTTGTAAAGCTTTTCATACAGTGTACTGGATTTGTTCTAGATTGCAGCGGGAGGTTCTTTTGGATCCTGTGAACCTGTAAATGCTATAGATGGAGATGCCAACATCCAGTGTGTCCTGACACTCGAGACCTGCGAGATTCTCAAAATATCTCGCTCTGGATACGAGAAAGTAAAAAAGGTGCTGCAGCGGGATACCTCATATAACACAAAAGACTAATGTCCTTTGATAACTATAAGCTAGGGATGTACTGATATTTTACATTAGCTATGTGTTTTTGATATGTTATTGCTGAGAAATAAAGATTACATTTCACATTATTGTTTTGTAAAAAATGTAAAAAATATTATGTAAAAATAGGGCAAATGGGCATGCACAATTAAATATCCAATTACAGGTATTATCCAATACCAGTAAATTAAAAAAATCTCTAATACCGGCCAATAACCGATATGGGACAGATATATTGTACATCCCTAGCTACTGTATGTTTTCTAAAATTGTACCATCAATGGCCCTGTTTACACCTGGTATTAAGATGCGTTTCGGTCGATCGGATCACAAGTGGACGACGCTGAATACAGGTGAAAAACAGGGTCTAAAACGTTTTGACTTGTCCACTTTTGACCACTTCCAGAGGTGGTCAAAAACGCATTCGACCAAAAAATTGCTTTCGTAGTGTAAACGTTCATGTGGTCGAATGTGTTCGAAAGCCACAAAAGACACCCTACTCTTCGTCTACTCTAGCCAGACGGGATTTAAACTTTGTCGGATGAAGGCCCAGTTTGGTTTGAAGTCGAAAAACGTACCAAGCACACAATGTTCTCTCACCATTCCTGATTTCTAGCACACACTCACAGTGTTCGGCGTGGTCCTGCGGCTGTCAGAGCAGAAACGAACGCTTCTGCTCTCCGTATTTTTTCTCGTCGTCTCCGGTCACGTTCATATGTGAATTGCGTGAGCTTACTTCGTGCATTAGATCAGCAGATCTGAAAAAGCCCATACATTAACCTGCCCATAGACACTTACCTCTGAGAAATCGCAACAGTGGTTGAAAGTGGACAAAAAAGACGGATTTAAACACCAGGTGTAAATGGGTCTCCCTCATCTACTTGTGATTCGAAGCGAACGACCAAAATCTTAATACCAGGTGTAAACAGCTTTAATGAGACAATGTACTCTATTGTTATTTGTAGGACATCCTGGCACAGGACCATCATGTTAAAATGTCTTTGATCCAGGGTTGCCAGCTGTACCTTCACTGGCCAAAGCTCTCCATCAACCACCTGGTCGACAGCATTCAGCTAAAAACATTCCCTGCTAATCAAGGTAAGTGGGTGTCTTGATTGAATATGTTCTGACACAATGAATCACAGCAGCCTCTAACACGCTTTAGTTTAGTTTTGTTCTGTTGACTGATGCTTAGCACCTGGATGGCATAATGGTTTTCCTCACTTAGTACGATACTTAACATGTTTGCCCCTAAATAAATGTGTTTATGGATGGAGGGCACTCGAATATGATTAGAGAAAAATACAAGCTGCTACCATTACCCCACACAGCTGACTTTAATTACCAGGACGGCTGCTTTTACACTTCATTTGGGAAATATCGAAACCCAGATATTCATTTAGGTGCATATGTTTATGTGTGTGTCATTGCAGGAGTGCCTCAAATTGTGTTTGCATGTCTGATTTCACTCAACTTGAGCTGTAGTACACATGAAAAGACTTTGTATGCAGTCTCTCGTATATGCACGAGAATGAATCTGAATTGAACACAAAATCTGGTAGGCTGTTCAATCTCAGTTCCTGTCCTGGAGCTGACAAGCAGGCATATGGTGTGCTGTGGTTGCATTGAGATATTGGGCGGAGATCAGCTATCATGGCTGAAATCTTTATTTAGTTGCTGTAATCTCCTCTTCTGTGGCTGCATCCCATTATTCCTATCCTCCCTCCAATTATACGTCTTCATTTGGATCTTCCTTTTTAATGAAAGGCTTCAGCTTTTAAGTACAAAGTAAATCTGTTTTCTTTCAAGACACTTCTAAGTGAGATCATTCCACGCTAGACCACATCTTTGAATGGGCTTTTGTGCAAAACGTGCGAACACTTAAACACAAAAATCATGGTTCATAGATTAGTTCATACTCTAGTATCTAACTCGTGTGTGTGTGTGACCCCTAAAATATCTAATACAATAATATTTATGTATTTATAATGTAGTGCAATATAATAAAGAACAGGGCACACCGCAGGCCAGATTTGAACCTAGTGGTCTTAGAAATGTGAAATTATTACATTTCAACAACTAAGAACAAATGACTTGCATAACTATTAGTTAGAGAACCAATGTGACTGCGCCGGGGTTTTGTTCTTTGCAGAATGAAACCTGGTTGTATGTGTATGTATCAGCGCTCACAGTTTATCGGACTCGGGTGAGGGTTGGGCTATCATATCATGGCTGTTCTTTATCAGACGGAGAGAGAGACCTATGGAACGAGACGTGATTAGAGAGGAAGACAGGTGTGTGGGAGAGGAGATTGATTGGCTCTTATCTGAGTGTGCAGCCGACAGCTGATGGATGTGCGAGAGCCCTGATCATTTCAGATGGCAGAGGGGTGGCTATTCTTGAACCAACTTCATCAAGAAATGCTGTATTTCATCCAACAGGCATCATCAACATTGTCGCTTGGCATAAAACAAGTTTTTTTGTGAATAAATACACTAGGCATGTCAATTGCTTACAGATCAAACTGAATTAAGTACATGCTGATTAAAATAAAATAGTGATCATAAGTAACGGCTCGCCAGTATTTGCCAAATGAAGATAATTCATACGTTGTGGCAGATTAATGATTAATTGTACAGACATTTTTGGCCGTTGCTTAAAGCGTTGTTCTTTATTGTCTCAAGTTAGAGTTAAAAAAGTTTTTTTTTAAAGCATGAGACTCTACTCCTAATCGGTTCCCGCTCTGATGGGTTGGAAATTTCTAATTAGGAAGGTGTGGTTTCATCTTTTTTTTTTAAAGTAACACCAGGTTACTTTTGCTCTCGGGGTGGGGTCCCCCTACAGTTGGGAAACAGTATTGTCCTCTAGACCTCTACTACTGTCGTAAACTCTGTCATCCTACATGCACGTGCAATTGTTGACAACCATGATAGCCCTGAACACTGTAGGAGGAGGTCACATGCAGGTGTTCTGCTTGCGTCGCGTGTGAAATGTCTTCATCCCAGGTACAGTGGCATATATTTCAGCATGTCATATGAATATAATTTCATGGGTTTTATTTTTTTTCTAACGACAAATGATCGCGATGATCACGTTTACAAGCCAGCGTCATTATAGTAGCCTATTGGTTACCGTTTTACTGAATCTATATGATACTTCAATGCAATGTTTGAGTGGTTGATGATAACCATATATCGTCAATATTATAATATCAAGCTACCATAAATGAATCTGCAAATTTTACAAATCGATTTGCATTATAGCTTGAGGCAAGACAAATAAACAAATATCACAGACATGTTAGGTATCCTAAAATATGATTTTGTACATCTTATATATTTACTTGCAAGAATGTAGCCCCTACCAAACTTGTGCACGCCGTTTAGACACAGGCTTTCATTTGATTTTATTTTTTTTTGCCAAGTCCGCATCGGTCGGGCACCCCTCTTCCTCCTTCAGCTCACGCCAGCAAGAAAACGCTGGCTCAATGTTGATCCTCGTTCTGCCTTTAACGCAATCACTTTCTCTTTTTCTCTTTTTGCTTTGCTCCGATAAAACCTTTGCTTTCTTGTTTTTCTGTGCTACTTCGGCCATGACTATAACATTTGGCTCGCACGTCCGATTTTAAGGAAGTGGGGGTGGTGGTGGAAGTGACGTATATGCCGTAAAGCAGTTGAATTTTGTAGTTCTCTTTGTTCGCCGGTTACTACCCGAAACCCGAAGTTTAAAAGTACGATTAAAAACACTACAGACCCCGTCAGGCTATGGCAGACGTGTCATTCAACCTATTGTAAGTCGATGTACCATCACAAGAGACTTGGAAATATATTATGAAGGTTGAAAAGTAACCTAGTGCTGCTTTAAACACTTTTATTATTATTATTATATTTTATATTAGTTTGATATAATAGTATTATTAATATTATAAAAATTTTCATGTTATTTAACAAAATAGTTTTAATATATTTATTTATTAGTAATTAACCATACTAAATTGTGCTAAATTTGATATTTGATATTTGTGTGGTGTGAGGAAACTCTTTAAAACATTTTGCTGTCATGTTTAGTTTATTTTACAGATCAAGGTATGCTTTTATGCTTTTTCAGAAATTAGTATTACCTTTTATATACTGAGTGATATAGCTGTTTGTGAATGTAAAAGGTCTGCAAACTAAGTTTCAAAGATCAAAGTGCATGATAAATGGAGTTATTGTCTCACGAAAGAAAGAACAGATTCTGAACTGCATGAAACGAGTTGTAGTTATTCCTGTTTTTCTTCCTGGTTGAACCTACGTAGGTTTGTTACAAATTTGCATAATCCCAACCTATGGTCATCATTGGAAAGGAAAAGGAGAGGTTTAGAGAGACTTAATCTTTAACGAACCGTTTCAGACACTGAAAAAAGAGGTGATGCTGCAATGTACTGTATAATTTGAAAAATATAGTAAAAAATAAAGTTTTTTTACCTTGCTTGGATGCACGTAAACCTATTGCAGGAGACCTCCAAAACAGAGTTAGGATCCTTTAAAATCATAATAGGGGAACTTTAAAGCTCAGGTGAGGCTCTAGAGTGTCTCATGTGTTTTTGTGTGTGTGTTTGGACGTGATGGCGTGGTGTGTCGTCATTCTCTTTTACACTTTCATTGCACACTGTTCAGCACCTTGGATAGCAGCACAACACGTGAACACGGCTAACAGGTGTGGGAATGACTATAGTTCACACGTGAACATGATGGACACAGCGTCCCAGTTCGGGGAGCATGCAGAGCAGGAAACCCCTAATCGGTTTTCCCTTTGGATGACTCCTTGCGGACCAAACTTGACCGCCTAACAACCCATGACCACCCTGCCTCACCAAAGCCACTGTCCTCATTTGAACTTCCTCCTGACTGTGATGTATAACCTAACAGCCTTGATCCAGAGGCCACTGCACTTCCCTGTTCAGCTGTCTGACTCTTAACTTAAGGTCAGCTAAACCACAAACACTCTCCTTTCCTTACAGCCTTCTTAGTGGGACCCAACTGCACTTATTTCTGTACTTGTTTCTGTAGTAAATATATCTTGTTTTAAAGATATTCAGAAGAAAATAGCGTAAATCATTTGTTGTGGTATTGGGGGCCAATGTATGTATTTTTTTGTGTGTGGAGAGATTGTTAAAAGTGATCCAGAGAGTGGAACAGTTACTGGGCATGATACGCACAGTGTGGACTGATGTTTATTGATGCATCTCCACACTAACATAGTTGTGTCATCTGATTTTTGCCCACTGTAAGAATGGTCTCATGTCTTTTTCTCCCTTCTTCCCCAGTTTTTTGTTTTTAAATTCTGCCCTTAAACAAACATGTCATTGAAGATCAGAAGTGAAATCAGTTCATCAGTCTTGCTACTCAAGACGTCTCAGTTTGCCTCTCTAGAGACATGAGCTGTGAACTGTAATATCTTCTGTTCTACAGCAGGATAATGTCAAACAAAAGCCTGTTGTCTCCATCGTTGGACTGCGTCACCCTGCGTCCACAGCTCTCCTGTTCTCATTGACTCTGGCCTAGACTGCAACCCCTAGGCTATGAATCCAGTCAGGTCGAGGTTTTTCTAGCCATCTTTGCATCATGTTCCATGGCTGGACTTGCAGTCCAAATATCCAGTCCAGCATGACTGTTGTTGATTATCTGAGCAGAAGTTTACTGATCTGTTGCTGTTTGGCCCACCCAGTCAGAGAATATTCAATGATGGCGTCAATGTTCATTCTAACATTTAACCACCCAATTATTATTTTTTCTTTAAAAGAGATCTTCTACCATTGACTTCTGCTTTTATGTCGATCAGTTAACAGTTTTATCACTTCCAATTCCAAGTTACATGCTATAAGAACACTACCATTCAAAGGTTTGGGGTCAATAAGATTTTTTTTAATGTTTTTGAAAGAATCGCTTATTCTCACCATAGGCGTAGGTTTGGTCTCAGCTTTGGTGGGGACATCCCATCCCATCCCATCCCCTAGCCAGTGAGTGCAAGCACAAAAAGTAGTCCCGGCCCGCGCGTGTAGCCTGCCTGTCAGATACCCCGCTGCCAATCAAATTACGGCGTATCTTGTACTGTCGTCGTCCTGGCCGTTGGAATCGATCCAAATAGCAGCGCAAATATCAAAATAGCAGTTCAAAGGAGCTTGCTAAATATTGGTGGGGACAAATTTGTCATCTCAAAATATTGATTGGGACTAGTACCTAGCGTCCCCCCCTAAACCTACGCCCTTGATTCTCACCAAGGCTGCATTTATTTGATCAAGTAAAAACAGTAATATTGTGAAATAATATTACAATTCAAAATAACTGTTTTATATGTGAATACATTTTAAAATGTAATTTATTCTTGTGTTGCAAAGCTGAATTTTCAGCATCATTACTCCAGTCTTCAGTGTCACATGATCCTTCAGAAATCATTGCAATGCTGATTTGCTGCTCAAGAAACATTTATTATTATTATCCGTATTATTGAAATTATTTTCAGGATTATTTGATGAACAGGAAATTCAAAAGAACAGAACATTTATTTAAAATATATATATTTTGTCACTTTTGATCAATTTTATGCATCCTTGCTAAATAAAATTATTAGTTTTTTAATAAAAAAAAATCTTAATGAATTTCGAATGGTTGGTTATACATCACAACCATGTTAGGTTATACATCACAACATTTTCTGTTTTTGTTCTTATAACATTGGAATTACTTTATATTAATTTTTTTTAAAGAAATCCATAGTACTGTTTTGTTGATACATATATGATACATGGTAAACTGTCAAAGTTTAAGGGCATATGGGCCATAATTACCCTTTGCCACTCCTGTCAATGATGGTGAATTGAGAAAATTTACCACCATGAATATTTCTTACAGGTCACGAAACTGTATTTTCCATAATTTTTTATTAAAGGCGACCTATAATTCAAAATTGAATTTACCTTGGTATAGTCAAATAACAAGAGTTCAGTGCATAAACATGACATAGAGTGAATCTCAAACTGGACTGTTTTCGCGTTCTCATTTAATTCACGTTTATGAAAAACACCCCTGAAAAACGGTCGGTTCTCCACACAATACCGACTGTGACGCAATAGTCGGGATCATTAATATGTACGCCTCCAAATATTTGCATATGCCAGCCCAGCCCTCAATGCCAGGCGGAACTGCGCAGCCGAAGCATGGCAGTGCTCAGTGTGGATGTACACATGAACACAAAAGTATTTTTTAGTTCCTTCATCTGAGCCTCTGAAGAAACAATGGGTTAATTTTATTTTCTCTGGAAATTTCCAAACATTTCACCGACTGTTTCCTCAACTTGGGCCAATACAGAGCTGGCCTCGGATCGAGCTACCAAGCAACACTTTCTGATGTGTAATTGTTCAAGTTCAGACAGGTAATCTTTCTCTCAAAATCGTTCAATATTGTTTATGCATCAGTAAGTCAAGCCAGTGACTAAAATATCAGCTTCACATCGTTTCTTTTAGTAGGATGAAAATAATCGTATTTAAATTGTGAACAAATTATATACAGAAAGCGATCAAAGAACAATCTTTCCACACAGCGCGAGTTTATCTGGACACTTGCCAAACTCGTTATGAAATCAATGACGCACGTTACTGCACAACGAAGCTCTTACTGTATTTACATCATCGTGTTTGCATTGGTGAAAGCTGAGAGAGTGCAGAAACTGCTTTGCAATGATAAGATCTTCATGCTCGCGATCAACACACTGTCATCTGCTCAATGCTCATCACGGCAACATTTTATGTGATGGGAATAGATCTAAATACTTTAAAAACATCTCACGATTCGTTAATCTCGATAGCTGTTATAGTAAAAACGGGAGAGAGTTTCACATGTAATGCGTAGCTATTTCATATGCAAGCATGTCAGCCAATCACAGCAGTGGCCGCGGTTACACTGAATCAGAGCCATAGAGAGAAAGAGTTGCGACACGCTTTAATGTCGCCGCGACGGCTGTCACGTGGTTCATGTAAGCCCCAATAGTTCCAAAACACACGCGGGCTGTCATGTTCTTCTATGGACAGACAGCAGCGATTGCATTATTAAATGGTAAATATAAAATAAAACACACACCCAAGTACTTTTTAAGCTGTTATTGCGTTTTGTTAATGTCAGTTTTGCATTTGGAGAGGCAGGGTGACAACTTAGATAAGTTTATAGGCTATATTTTTGGAGGGAAAAGCTTAGTGTTCATGTTCGCATGGGTAGTAGCACTGGCTTAACGGCTCTAACTTAACTTTTCCATGTCATTCATCTGATGATGGACGTCTCATGATATTTTAGCACAACTGGCTGGGCTGTATTAGGCTATTGATTCCCGTGATCTTGCTTATAAATTCCGCTTCGTGATCACGCAAAGAGGTCTGCAGTCCGTTCAGAACTCCAACCAACATAAAATATAAATAATTACGCTGTGCATGTACAAATGAATGATTTAGGAGGGAAATAGACTGCTCCCATAACGTAGAAAGCAACGACTATATACAGCAATGTTCGGTAAATATTCAACCGAAAAATATTCTTCATAAAATTAAACCGGAGAGATGGTTAATGAGTGAATTAACTATGTTCCTAAATACATATAAGCACATGCATAGCCCTAACCCATTTAAATAAATGAATTGTGTGTATGTATATAATATTATATATATATATATATATATATATAAAATATTATTAAAAATATTATATATTATATACAGGTTACCAGTTAGCTAACGTTAGTGAAGTGTTGGTCACGTAAGCTATAGCTGCAATTAACCTATTATCTTCCAATAAACATTTACTAAAACTGGCTACATAAAATATAACTACAGACTAGATTCACGAGAGGTCGGCTAATGTGTGTAAAAGTAAAAGAATACAGTAATTTCATTAATTTACCAGCGAACGTACTTCTGAAGCACTGAAAATGAATGGGGTTCAATGGAGAAATTATCAGTGTTTGGAACTATTGGCCGCTCCACGACACGCGTTACTTCCGCATTTCAAAGTTCCTATGGCGGTCTATGGGAGTGTCACAACTCTTTCTCTCTATGGCTCTGCACTGAATCCCACAGCAGACACGCCCCTTCAAACAGAGCGTTCAAATCAGAGGCTAAAAGCAGGCTAGGAAAAATGCCATTTATTTCTAAATTATGATTATTTTTTTATCTAAAAAACATACTAACATTATAAGGGTAACCCAGGAAACATTATAAAATAATAAAAAAAAACATTCTAGGGCACCTTTAAGATTCCAAAATACTTTGGGATTTTAAAGTGATACTGCCGACGTAGGGAAAGGAAATCTGCTGTTGGAAGAGTATAGTTACGTAACAGAGCAACAGTTTTATGCTGTTTCACAGGACTAATTGTGTTGTGCAGTACAGAAATGCAGAACTCTGGATGTTAATGCCCTGTGGGAGGAGGCGTGACTGCAGTGTGTTCATCTAAGAAGACAAACGGCGTGTACCAGAGCCTGCTGTGATTTCCCAAGTGATCTAGGCATTTGCTTTTTAATGGCTTGCGAAGACATGCGGAGTGGGCGAATAATATAGTAACGGCAGTTTTGCTCTGAAAAGAGGGAGAGTGTGAAGGATGAGATTAAAAACTCTGTGTTGAATCACGACTTCCTCCTGCCTCTAACACTTCTGAAGTGGAGGCCTGGGTTCTGTCAGCGGCCAGACAAATGGACTCTGCTTGTCCCGCTCCCTGCTTCACTGAGATGGGATTTACCTGTCAAGGCTGATATACAGTGTTTCCCCCCTGATGTTAAAGGCTCACTGTAAATCAATTTAATCCTCACCTCCACAAACCAACCGCAGGTTTGTCACAATAAGAAATAATCCACCGCTTTTGGGGCTGCTGCCAAAACATAGATTACTTCTGTCGTAAACAGTCTGTATCTTTTTCTTTTTTTTTCTCATTCTTTCCTTCCTGGGTCTCTTATGTTTTACATTGAGATGCATTTATTACGGTGGGGAATACCTTGCTTTTGCATGGCACCTGATGCAATGAGCGACAAACAATTAAGGGTGCTTTCACACTTGCACATAAAAAACAGGACGCGATTCAATATATTGTGTTTTTTATTAATCTGGTGCTATTATGCACAGCAGAGTTAACGACATTTTGCTGTATGTGCGTTGCATGAAGCAATCCAATAATGAAGAAAAATATATTCAAATTTGATGTTGATATTTTGATCTATTTATGGCTGTGGAAATGAAAGTCAAGTTAAACGCATTGTTTTGTGGGGTTCATCAGTGCACTCTGGTTGCATAATGCACATTTTGGCAAATATAGTATGTCATCCAGGTGCTCCATACATATCAAAAGTGTGCGACTGTGTGCCACATGCATTCTGGATATTGTAAAGTAACACGGAAAGCTTGGAACTATATTATTCAGACCATACTTTATATTACAAACCTACTTTTTCTAATCTACTCGGCTGTTTAAACATTTAAAAAATAATCATTTTTATTCAGCAAGAATGCATTAAAAGTGATCAAAAGTGACGGTAAAACATTAATAATGTTACAAAAGATTTCTGTTTCACATAAATGCTGTTCTTTTGAAATTTAGTTTTTTCCTGCTTAAGCAAATTCTTATATCTGTATTACAGTGCTGGTGAAGGAGGGAAAGATCTGTCCATTTGTGGCCTTTATTGGACGTGGAGAATGTAACATCCTTCAGGACGTGGGATCGTTGCAAAAAACAGTCGACAAAAAGGTTTCAGAACGAGTTTGAGGCTTCCATATGCACAGCATATTTCATACTTAGGAAAAGTAAAATAAGAAAATGCATGAACTGATGTTTCTTTTCAGTCACAAATGATAGTGTTTAATGCATTTTTGTTCAGTGAAAAAGAGCGAAACTGTGATTTGCAGGGCTGCAGGATCAGATTCGTGCTGCTTGGTAAACTAGGTCCAAAGCAGTCATTTGGAGAGGTCAGTATCCTATTGAACCAGCCCTCCCCTTGTACTGTTATCACTGCCACTGAAGTTCATGGTGGAATCATTCAACCGGAATGTCTTAAAGGTCAGTCGTGACACTTTACTGCTTTCTACCTGCACAGAGTAGGATAACCATGACATTACACCTCAGAGGTAATAGCTTTAAACTGGCATGCTCGCAGTAACACGCATTAAGGTATGTGTTTTGTATTCAGTTGTTAATCTGAACAAGGTTTATTTACCCATGCACAGGTCTGGACTCAGTGACCACCTCTCTTATACTGCAGACTGCGCAACCAATGTGTGGAAAGCTCAGTGAGGTGAGAAAAAAGGAGAATTTGAAAGACCTTTATGAACAGGAAGGTATCTTTTAGTGTGTGAATTTAAATTGAATTGGCCACATCCCCAAGGATCTTGCGTATGAATTTAAATTAGAATGGTCACACAACAGAGTCATTTCATTTGTATCGTATCCCAAAAATTAGAGCATTCTGGAAAATGAAATGTTCTTCCTGCATAGACCATGAAATGCAAGTGGCAGACATACTGTAAGGTTGTTTTACCTTGAGGGCTGTTTGCTGCTTTTTGTTTCTCATGTATGTTTTTCTTTGTGTAGGAGGAAGTCATGAAGGAGTTCCTGACACAGGAGAGGATGAAGAAATGGGAACATGAGAAGGTGGTTCACTTATTCATTTTTCTTTTTGACCCTTTAACCCATAAATGCTATGTGTGTCCTCCTTTAGGGTGTGTTGTTCATGGAGAATGCCCAGCGGAGTGAATTATAGTGCCTAACCCTTCTGGAACACTCTCCAAATTCTCCAAACAACGCTCCAAAAAAACACAAAAAACCCCGAAATCAAGCAGTGAGTTCATGAGATGTATAAGCTGTACTTACTCCCAGACACCCGTTCAACTTTGACTTTGTTCTCAGAGACTCCAGACTCTGCCGTCTCTGTGTTCGCGTGCCAATTTGCCAAGCGAGAGAGACCCACACGCTCTGATATTTCACAGCATGGTCTGGTCCTCTCTGGTAAACACAAAATGCATTTGAAACGCTTTTCATTTTGACGTTGTAAACCATGACTCAAGTGACTATAGTTATTGCTGTATCGCTTTTACCTTGGTATGCATTTCCACACAGCGAAAATAAGAAGCACTGCTTTACAATATTTATTCATGAGAACGACAGAAAAACATGGAGATGGTCCCAGACAAGTTATTAAGGGGTATAATGTGAAGCAGAGTTGCTACATTAATACATTTAGAATAAAAACTTTTTAACTGGATTATTACATTATATGAATATGAAGCTATTTTTTATAATTGTATTTTTTTGTTTGCATCCATTTTAAAAATAGAAAGTAATCAAAAGAGATTAAGTACCTGTCAGTTGTAAAGTATTTTATTCACTAGATTATCCCATAATAGGGCCTACAACATGGTTATTTATTATAGAAAATCTTTTCTTTTTCTTTTTTTTAAATAGATTTTCTGTGGAAATGTCCTATATCATTAACCGTGACACTCAAATATTCCTCTCTGGCAAGCAGGTTTTCTAGATTCCACGGCCTAGTGGAGATCTTCTAAGTGTGTGTGTGGTCCGTGGAGCTGTATGGAGCTCCCAGCGCTTATAAACACAAGAGACTGGCGCTTTGTGCGTGTGTGTAAACATTTCCCAACGAAGTGCTCTGATCCTCAGAAGCGCTCACTAGAAATGTTTTTCAGATGGTCCTATATCGTTCACAGTATATAACTGTGCCATCTGGAGCTCCTGTTCAGGTGTAGCTTTAAAGTTACAGTTATGTGCTTGACAGGCTGCAGTGTCAGATAATAATCTGTCTATATTATACCTCCAGATACTGTAATTTCACTCCCTTTATATTCCATATAAAGCTTATAAGCCTATGATATAATTATAATAATGCAAAATAAAATATAATACAATTCTGTTTCTTTTGTAATGTAATGAAATTGCTTATATTATATTATATATGTTATGTTATTTTCTGTCTGTTCCATTTTGAATTATACATGTGTGTTGATTGCCAGACAGACAGACAGATAGATAGATAGATAGATAGATAGATAGATAGATAGATAGATAGATAGATAGATAGATAGATAGATAGATAGATAGTGTATCATAAACTTCATTATCTTCATCAAAAATGATGAACTGGATTAAATTGGATGTTATATTTTTTATTATATTTATCATTTAATTTTAGGTGATTTGTGACATTTTGTCATTTTATTATTTTGTGACATTTATTTGTACGTTTTTTTAAAGCATTTCAAGTAGTTTTATTAATGAATGTTAAGCAGCCTGATTCGTTAAATAATAATGTTTAATGACTATAGTTACTCATTTTAAAGAAGCTTTTTTTTGCAGTATTTGCCTTGGTGCAAGTACTTGGTATCAGAGAAAAAACAAAGTAAGTGGTGTTGTAGTGCAATAGGTTGTGGGCAATATTAGACCAATAAGGATGCCTACTACAAAATACCACCACAATGAATATGTCATCCTGGCATATTTCTATGATGCACATACTAATCCTAATCTTATGTTTTTGTTCAGATGGAAAGCGATTTAGGATGCAGTCATTCTTTGTATCTTCCATATAGTACTGAACGTACTTCTTGACTGACTTTGTATGAGATCCAGCCTTTCTAAACTCCCTGGAGTCACGTAACCTCACCCCACTCTTCTCCCCGTGCGCATTCACACCTGTTTCTCATTCTCTCATCATTACACTCAACAAACAGCATATACTAGGCCAACAGAAACACACCCTTTATTAAAACACACATACACATTTTTTAGACTGTTTTTGCGATGTGATTTGGAGCTTGTATCATCTGTTCCCAGTGTAGTTTGCCTTCCATCAAGCGTACCAGGCAGGAAAAATAGGTTCATGTAAATAGTCGCTGGTCTTCGGCAGCCGGTGATTATTTAGTTTAATGGTTAATCTGACAGATAAGCTATTAAGAGTGAGGTTTCCTATTAGTTTTCTTGATTTTTTGTTTTGTTTTTAGATTTAAATACAGTTTTACGAATTTTCAGTTCATATTTGAAGTCAAGAAAGGAAAGCATGCGTCATTAAGTAGTTAAATTAGTGCGTACTGCGTATGTGCGGCAAAAAACTTTTTTAAGTGGGATACATGTCTTCAGTAATATAAATACATTTGGAATGTCTATGCATTCATTTAATTACACTTATTACAAATATTACTGGATGCCATATGATAGATTTGTATCAGGAAAAGACCATTTAGTTTTCAGTATCATTACTCCAGTGTTCAGTGTCACATGATCCTTCAGAAATCATTCTAATATGCAGATTTGATGCCCAAGAAACATTTATTATTATTATCAATATTGAAAACAGTTGTACCGCTTAATATTTTTTTGAAAAATGTGATGCATCAGGATTTTTTGATGAATAGAAAGTTTTAAAGACATTTTAAATGTCGTTAATGATACATTTAATGAATAGAAGTAGGCCTAATAGATTTTCAAAATGTACATTGTTCAATGAGCTATTGCTTAAGCAAGATACTTAACCTCTGTTAATTCTAGGTTGACTTTCACTGCAATAAGTGTACTGTAAGTGACTTTGATGGTTTCTCATTATATACTTTATTGGATTATGTTCACAGAGTACCTCTGGAGTATTTTAGAAATATGAGTATGAAACACAGTTCTGAATGAACTCAAACATGCCTGTGAGCTTTGAGATGTAGGAAAACAATATACATAAATTAATGAATAGTGAACATAAATCATGCAAACTCCTCAGGGCGAATTGAGTGTGTTTTACCGTCTGTGTAAGATGTGCATGTTTTTGTTTAACCTTTTTTGGCCATGTAGCATAAAGCAAACAATACTATTATAGTCAGATAATGTACAAAATATGTATAAACACCAGCGGCTTGTAAACAGTCGGTCTCTGGACGGGCTCATTTGTCTTCAAGCAGACACAGTAAATCTCTGCAATCTGTGTCATGTATTTAGGGGTGTCAGACGAGAGGTTTTTGAAATGACTTATGGGCTTGATACTAAACACATGGCACTGTACAAATTATGCTGATGGAAAATAGAAACACTCCTGTTGTTGGAGTTGATTCATACTTTATTGCTGAAATAACAAAGGAAAAGAGGATAATGGGGAAAAAGAATAGCACAATAAAATGATCAGAAAAGACAACTGTAAAGACAGCTCCTGCCCAAAACACACCTCAGAGCCAGTGTGACCTTAGTTGTGACTGACCAGGGGCCGTAGCTGGGGTATCCGGGGCCCCGGTGCAGGTTGTTGATTTGGGTTGTGGGATTTCTCCACATTCTCCAATCGTGGGGGCCTCCCTAAAGCAGGGGGCCCCTAGAATCGCCATCACCTTTCGTCCCGCTAGCGATGGCCCTGGTTGTGACCATCTGATGCATATTGCAAATTTTGCGCATTGAAATATACATGTTCACAATGTACTGGGTTGATATGAGTGCTTTAAAAGATGCTAGAGTTTTGTTTGAGCACTTGGTAGCATGTCAACTCGATATCCACAAGTAGAAATGTTAAATTGTAGTTTTACAACAACAAAAAAACCTGCACTTGGACAGATTTTTTTTGTGTGTGTTTTATGGAGTTTTTCATTCTATTATTTGCTAGTTTGGTGCTATATTGATTTCTTAACTAGCTTGTAGACTTGGTTGACCTGCAATTTTGTACCACCACCACCATGCCAGCATAAGTCAACTTTGACCAATATGGAAATTTATTTTTTCAGTTTTTTTATTATGCATCTGGTTACATTACACTGTCTACACCGGACACGAGCGACACGATGCGACAAAAGACATGGATGCGACAGAATGCGACACGACAAATCCCAGACAGTAAACTGAGACCCCGCTCTATTTCTGTTGTAATCCAAGTGCCAGCACTACTTTTCACACGAAGGACAAAAGTATTTGCAACGTTAGCTTTGTCCTGTCCAGTGTGGACAGCCTCAAGCTGTTGCTGCACGACAATGGTCGCATAGACATGGTGTTAGAGGCATTCTCAAAAAAAGTGGCCTTTTTCTTACATTTACCAAATTGATTGGTCATTTTTTGCCACTGAGCCATTAGATGGATCCTAAATGAACCCTTATCGGCCCTTTTTGAGCTGATTAGACATTGTTCTGCATGAAACTCATTCATTTCTTCTGACTAGTGTTGAAATGATTGACAAGCCTCATTTATGTCTTATCAAAGGGTTTTTAAATATACAACCTTTTGTGAAAGTACAATACATAATTTATAGTATTATGACGGCATCAGAATTGATATATTCTCTCTCTCTGTCTTTGTCTCTCCCTCAGAGCAAGATACTTTCCGATGCTTTGTTTTATAATGGTGTTCACCCAGGAAGAGGCAAATGGACTTTTAACAGAGGACCAAGAGGAGAAACTGGGAAATCCAAGAAGTCCATATGAAGTTCAGCAGATAAACACACACACACACACACACATATGGTTTATTGGTTACTTTGGTAGGTATACAAGCTTAAATTCTTGCCCTGAAATGAATCCAGTATTGCCCTTAGAGCATTTGTGTTTTTTGTAAAGTTTATGACAGTTAAAGCTGCATAAAAACTGTCATTCTCTCCGCTCTCATACTTTCCGTCATTGCTGCATATAATACTACTTTAATGGATGCCTAGTCATATCTGATGCCTTCATGAAGAAAAGGCTTCTGAGCACATTCAGAGACCTGTCCAAATTGTTATCTTCTGTTTTTGCTGGAAGTGGTTTTCTGGATCCCACAGCTGACACCCGCTCCAGAGACACAGATACTGAGAAACAGAACTCAAGGGGTTTATTCCCTTCACCACAGCATTATAATCCTTCACCTTCTTCTTTTTCAAAAGCATTTAGATTCTGACAATATGCAGGGTTTTTCTGCGTACAGCTGCCTAGAGGGATTGAAAATACGGACACGAGGATGCAATTAAACCCACTTGAATCGACAAAACGGGATGATCCCCAGGTGCGTTTACTTGGCCTAGTCAAAGGTGATTCAAACCTGTGGGTGGCTGCAAAGATCTAGCCACCTCACTGACTTCTGCTGACGTCTCTGTACTTTTCATACGAAGCATTGTGCTCCTACTGTCATGTCAGTGACAAAAGGGTAAATAAGCCCTTCAGTTGCCATTCAGACAATTGTAGTTTACCCCAAGCATGTGTGAATGCATTTTACATTATGCTGTCATGTCAGCCCTGAAGTAATCTTGGTGAATATTTGGAGACAAGCTCTGAAATCATAATGTAAGCAAGTGAAAAAGTATCTCAAACATCAACATATATAGTAAAGACTAGAAAATGATCTTAAATTATTGCGTCGTATCAACTAGACTGCCATGTCTTGGATGCATGCTATAAACTTTATTTAGCAATTTAGTTCTAAAGCTGAATGCTTTTTTGCAACTGCCTTGTGTCAACTCATGTCTGACAGGCCTTAAATTAATAAATCTGTATGGAAACTCCAAGCCTAGAATACTTGAAGTTTGTTTAGGTTCAGGGAACTTTAACTGCCCCCATTGGGGATGGCTAATCTCAGTTTCCTGAAGGAAAACAGCTATTCTAATTCTTTTTATAACCATAAACTCTTATTTAGTCTACGTCTGTCCTTAGATGATTGTCTCCAACCTTAGATGACTGAGCTTGCAGGGTTTCTGTGATCTGGTGACTGAATGTAAACTAATGTTTGTGGCTGATTGATTGGTTTTGATCATTCTGACGGCTTAATTAAGTAACTCCAGACAAAACAAACACTAAAACAGGTCATATTGAACGTCTCAGCAGGATGCTAGATGTTTTGGGATTTTATTATTTTAAGTTTGTTTTCTAAGTCTTCTGTCATGGTTTTGATTCGCTAATGAACTAATACTCTTGCAGGTGAACATATTTTTCCATTTATGGCATTTGTTTGGAAAAGGTCACGTGACAACCACAGAGAACAGATGTTAGAGATGATGCGAGGAATGTTTGCAGACATGCTTCAATGACCTCTGAACTCTCCTTTGCACCTGCTACCAAGGTATTTGCACAGTACTCCAAGTTACTTCCAAGAATATTTTGGTAGTGCTTTGGTGCTTTTTATAAGTGCATTGTATAAATCCAAAACAAAATCAAGGTATTACCATGGCACCATGTTCAAAACTATGGTGTTTACATGGTACTCTTAGGTACAGTATGTCAAAGAATAGCGTGGTTTTTTGGACATTTTCAATAGTAGTAATGTTATTTTTGAACATCCTTGGGATACCATGTAAATACATGTGTTTCAGTAGCATAATACTGTATGACCATTATAGTATTATTGTTACAGTATTTTTTTGTAAGGAATGGTACTGTCATGGTAAATGCCATGTATTGCCATGCATGGGACATGTCCAAAAACCAGGGTATTACCATAGTATCATGTCCAAAACTATGGGTTTTACATAATACTCAATTTGAACGTCAAGGAATACTATAGTAAATCTCGAAAGCATAGTATTGTTATAATATATATTCAAAAAGCCTTGGCAGTACCATGATAAATCTCCAAAACATAAGGTAATATGGTAAATCTCATCAAACATTGTGTTTTCAAAGTATATGTTTCCAAAGTATATATTCAAGACATAAGACATTGTGCATATCCAAAACCATAGTATTTTCATAGTATACTGTATTTCCAAAAAGAAATGGTATTACCATGGTGAATCTCCAAAGACATAGTATAAATTCAAAAAGTCATGATACGGTAAATTTCCAAAGACATACAATTTCTAAAGTATATATCCAAAAAGCTGTGGTAGTACCGAGGTACTTTGACCTCTTTTTGTCTGTGAACTGAACAGTTGCGAATGCTAAATATCAGTTGCATGAATTCTCCTCATAGTAACTGAAATGTGCCGTAGGTGTTTTACAATGTTCAGCTTCATTTACCACAGGTCTCGTGACCTCATAACTAATGTTTGCCAAACAACAGGAAGCCGATATTTCGCAGACACAAACACACATGAACGCACCCGGTGACATCCACCATTGTTTTCCCTCTGCCTGACATGAACGGAAATAGTAATGGATAAACAATGCAATTATCCTGGCGCTGTGCCCGTCTCCCTCCGGACCAAAACCTCTGTAGCCTGCAGAACATCCATCATGCTGCCTCCACCATCACTGCAAATACCTCACATTCAAATACAGCAAAGACGCGGCGAATCCATCTCCCCGTCCTCCCCAGACCATTAGATGCTTATCATCTATGTCTAGAAGTCTCACGCCATTTGATATATTTGAATACATGTCGTCAGCCATTGTTTCGCATCTCTCTTCTCTTGAAACGCAAAGATTAGTTCAGAGTTCAGGTTAAAGACAATACAAGGCTTTCTTTAGTGTCCTTTGGAAAGATGATGATTGAACGTAAATTAATAATGTCGGGCACTTTTGTGGTTTTCACTTGTCTTGATTACTGTTCTTCATATGACTCTGTCCCATCTGTTCTGGTCATATCAAGTTCAGATGTGCGTCATCGGGGAAGGTTGAGACCTCCTGTAATTTTAGATTCTGTCACTGTTTGATGTCCTATGATGTGCTGTCATTCATCTGTACCGTCCGTCAATAAAGAAAAGAAAAAAAAATCGTGTGTTCACATTGATTTAACTTTATTGCACTTAAGCTCACTGTTAGCTAGCATTTACATGAATAGGTGTGAAGGCATTGTCGGAGATTTTTGACAGCACAACTGTTTTCAACATTTATAATAATAATAAATGCTTCTTGAACACCTAATCAGTATATTAAAATAATTAATGAATGTAAATGTAAATGTACTTTATTTATATAGCACCTTACATCGACCGATAGGTGAACCAACGTGCTTTACAACAGATTAAACAACAATTTAGAACAACAACACACCAAAAACACAAGTACAATAATAAAAGAAGAAACGTAAGAAAAATAGATCAAAATAAAATCAATATAAACGTGCCACCACACTACTAGGTACTAAAAGCCACTATAAAAAGATGTGTTTTATGAAGGATCATGTGACATTGAAGACTGATGATGCTGAGAGTTCAGCTTTGCCATTACAGAAATAAATTACATTTTAAAATGTTAAAACAGAAAAAAGTTATTTGTTGAAGTAATATTTTTCAATATTCATGTGTTCACTTAATGTTTGATCAAATAAATGCAGTCTTGGTGTGAATAAAAGTTTTTTCTGTCAAAAAAAAAAACTCTTACTGCCTTCAAACTTTTGAACAGTAGTGTACTGTATATTAGCATTTAAATGTATTCAGCATTTCTTGTTTTCTATTTGATTTCTGTAGTTGAAATTTCTGTTTTTGAGAACATATGTCTATGATGAGAACATTAACAGACTTAAAATACCTTAAAATTGCCTTTGAGGTCCATGTCTGTTAGCTTTGAGGTCATGTATGTGCTAGTGTACTTCTAAATGCTGATGAGAATTTTTTATAATTTTTTGTTGTTGCAAATTTACAGATTTAAAACGTACATGTTCTATGATGATGATACTTATGATGACTCATGTACTATAGATTTCTGTCCAATTACATGCTCAGTAGAATGTGAATGCCCCTCCCCCTCATCCCACCTGCAACAAAGTAGCAAATCATGGTTTATGGCTGAAATTTAATCATTTACACGACATTGTGTTCAACTAAAAACACAATTTTTCGAATGCGTTTTGGCCATTCATTTACACGACAACTGCGTTTGTGGGGCCTGAAAACAGAAGCTTTTGAAATCGGGTTTCAAAATGCACATTTGTAAAAAACGGTACTGTTATTCTTTCGGTTCACATGACGTCACTGTAGGTTTACGCCGCCATCTTGACGACCGACGGTCTCAGTAATGCCTGCAACATGTTGTGCAGTTGGCTGCAACAACAGCCGAAAGAGGAACGCCGAACTGGTATTTTATTCTATACCAAAAGAAAAGGATAGAAGAAATGTCTCTCATTGTATTTCTCATATTGTATCATGTCTCATCTTTCTGTGCGCACACACCCGACCCGAAGCGTCCAGCCATAGAGCCCCATATACAGCGCGCGAGTAACGAATTGAGCTGTTTCGTGTCTGAATGGACAAATACACACAACATCATGTTTAAATGTCCGTTTTGGAGAGTATTCACGTAAAATATGTCAGTCATGTCTTAAACAGAGTTGTCATCCAGTCTCTTTGGTAGAGAGAGAGACGAGGAGAACAAAGCATGCAAATGGAAATTATCGCGGCCGGAAAAATTATCGAGCATATTTTTTTATCGTGCGATTAATTGATTTATTGACTATCGCGACAGGCCTAATCCAGATTAATGACAGCTAGCCGCGAGCCGTGGCTAACAACTGGCAAGCTACCAGCTGAGACTTAACTACCTAACAACTAATGTTAGCTACCTACCTAGTCAGAGCAAACTACCACCAAAATCATACATTTGAATTTTTTTTATAATACCAACATTTCCATTAATTAAATATAAATCCTTGGTGGCCAGGTGCCGCACTTTTACCCATCCAGCAACAGCTGATACTCTGAAAGCCTTCGCGATCCATGGGGAGGGGTTATGCACAAGATAAATATATATATATATCATGGAAGGCAAATTGGGGCAAGTCTGGGGCAGATTATAAAGGACAAAAGAAAACTGGGGGTAACAAATAAGGATCGGAGCCTAAAATTAAAATTGTATCCATGTATCTCTCTTTCTCTCTCATTCAAATGGGCAGTTTGGGCGGCCACCGGGCGAGATCGGTCGTCAATATGGCGGCGTTCTATTTCTAGTGACGTAGGTGGCATCTATGAATTGTCTCCATTTAAACAACAAAAGCGTGAATTTGTGAAACATTGAAGTCATGCGCATGCGTATTACATGTTCAGTCCAAAGGTGCCTAGTTTTTTTTTTTTTTTTTTTTTTACAATGTCACGTCGCTAACTACTGGCCTGGCAGCAGAATACAGCATTTTTTGTTATTTCGCTGATCAGTGTGTCAGATCGTTTTGACAACGTTGTCATCTGTACGCGAAAAAAGCAAAGGAAAAAACTTTAACGTTTTTAACTCTACGTTGTCGTGTAAGCGTACTTTAAATCTGATTGGCTAATATTGAAGAACAGGGACAGGCTATTAGATAAGTTCTGTATTAACACAGTAAAGAAAAGTGGCATTGTGTCGCAGAAAAAAAGTTCCCAATTCGATATTTTCTTTGTTCATTAAGTCTGGAAATGCAAAGTCAGGCAGTCATTTAGGGGCTTGGATGAGAAGCAGTGGGTAATGCACCAGGGCCTACAAATTAGAAAAGGACAGAGCGAGATTGATTTACCAGCAGCCCCACAGTTCAGATCCATTGAAGGATTCAAAAATAATTAAAAAGTTAGAGAAACAAAGGAAGACAAATCTTAATAACCCGCCTTTGTGCTAATTATCTCCATACACATTTATTGTTGTCCCTCTAAGTCAATAAATAGCAAGAGGAGGGGGGAAATTAATGTAGAATTAGCTTAAGATAAAGAAGTGTTCGCTTTCACTCTTGGCTCCTTTCCTAGATGTTATACTCACTGGTGATTCTTCACTGGAAATATACTTTAATCTCAAACCTAATTTTGTTCCCCGTGCAGGAAACATCCCTCGGGTTGTGCAACCTGGTGCAGTCAGATTAAAATAGCTTAATGCAAACAAGCCATCAGATTTAATTGTAATTATTTACTCTTTCTTGTTTAGCTCTATTAGTGGTTCTTGTTAAAGGAACTAACACTATTTTTATTAAGGTTAGGGATTTAAACAAACCTTTATTCTCAAGTATTAAACTTCAATGCATAATTCATCATACACCGTTTGTGCTATACAGTCACAAAGGAGACATAATATTATGTGGCTCATTGACTGGGGTTATGATTTTACAATTCAAAGCAGTTCGATTTATGGTTTTCATTTTAAATATTGTAGACTTCACTGCAGCATTGTTATTGTTAACTAAAATTTAAATATTAAACATTTTTTTGTAACTGAAATAAAGCTGAAATAAAATAAAATACAAATATTACATGAAAAACTAAATTTGGAATTGAAATATTAAAATAAGTATTAAAATTACAACAAAAAACCCCTGAAAATAAAATAAAGCTACGGCTTATAGAAAATATAACAATAAAAGTATTGGTAACACAGGGTCCAGTTCTCACTATTAACTATTAGGATGCATATTACTTGGATATTGGCTGTTTATTAGTACTTATAAAGCACATATTAATGACTTATTCTGAACAACCATATTCTACATCCCTTTATTCTACCAAATTCCTAAACTTAACAACTACCTTACTAATTAATAAGCAGTGATTAGGAGTTTAGGCAAAAGTCATAGTTATAGTTAATAGTGAGAATTGGACCTTAATCTAAAATGTGACCAAAGTATTTATTAATACTTTAGTAAACAATACTGTACTGAAATAGCACTGCTTGATGATGTCCCAGGACATCCTAGCATCACCATGGCAACCAACCACAACATCCTAGCACCACCATGGCAACCAACCACAACATCCTAGTATCACCATGGCAATTTTTACACACGCAAGCACTTTTTTTATATATTTTTTTTATGTGAAACCTTTTTTTTCTGTGTCATTGTCCTGATTAGTGTTGCTATAAGATGTGCTTGTAACATGGAATAAATCTTCATAAGAACAATATGGAAAACAATGTGGAAGCAGTTATTGTGTTTTTATCTGAGCTCAAATATCTGTGTCTGTTCTGTTATCTGTTCTGTTAAATATCTGTTCTGTGTCTATAACCACATCCTTCTCCAGTCTGACAGATGCAGGACTCGACTCTCCGGAGAGCGTGTTGTCGGCAGGACAGTTTGTCACTCGGCACTTCTTCACGGATCAGGTGTTCTCTCCTGAAGGAAGATGTCTGGGCAATAATACCTCACTGTTGCTTCCATTAAAGGCATGTGTCCAGCAGTGATTCAGGTAAGAGTGCCAACAAAGCCTGAAAGGCCTCCATGATATACACAGCAGATATATTTGCGTTATGTACATTTAAAATGAGCATATAATCTCCCAGGAACAAGCCGCTTAGGAATTTACCAGCATACATAGAATTATTTATGTCATTTATATATATAATTTTCAGTAGTTTCGGTTCCTATCAGCTTAATAAGACAACTGCTAAGTAAGGCATACAGTTCTGCATTGTGGGATTTTGTATATTGTACTATTCTTTTCTTTATATATAGTTTGCACATTATACTGTTCTGGTTTCATACTACATTTGCAAATAGTTTTCTATACTAAAATGTGTGCAGTAGTCATACTGCAACAATAGTAAGAGTAGAACGGCAGTATATCATTCCAAATGTTCCCTCAGCGTACATAATGTGTAGCAACTCCCATCATCGTCCTCTCAAAAACAGCCCACCATAGTACAGCTCATGCATGCACTCATGGTGTTATAGTTTCACTGGAGGAGAGTCACAATAGTGGGTTTATGGCAACAGTGGCGAGGCTCAATGGGCACCAGGTGCGGCTCATCACAAGTTGCCAGCAATGTTCCATTTACACGCGTCTACCCTTAACCACTGTTGCGGGCCTGGACACTAGCCAGCATCAGGAGGGCCGCGGGATGATTATTGGAGACATGGAGATTCCACTGTCGCAGGTGTTCGAAGCAGGAGGAGTGGTGTGATAAAGGATTACTTTCCAAGAATGAAAATGAAAGGAGAGGAACACACACTCCCCTCCCTTCAAAGCCTGTCTTTTTTCATGTATTACCTCTTAAAATGTTTCTAGAATTCCATTTTTCTCTTGTGCATTTTGTTCTTTTGTGGACTGATGAGGTTTAGATTAAGGCAAGAATAATAATAAAATAAAATAAAAACACACACACACAATAGATATCACCTAACATCCCAAGTTGATTGATTACATTAAGAATTGTAATACAAAAAAGTTTTCTGAAATGCTGCTTTTAAATATGCAAATGATGCATGATCTAATTAAATATGTGATTATGTGCATGCAGCAAACAGAAAATCAGAACATTGGTCAAAATTATTTTCATTTTTTTGATATATTAGAGTCAGGTTTTTACAGAGGGTATTTTGAAAATCAGCCAGAAGAAAAAAATGTCACCATGTTTTTAGGAATGAAATGTCTCAAATCAGACAAATGATATATGAACAAACAAACCCCTCTGTAAAATCCTTCAGAATATAGATAGGAAGAATAAATCTGTAGTTTTGTTTAAGTGATGTGGAGATTTCTGGCTCAGTGCAGGAGAAAAAGCTCATTTTGAGGAAATGTATTAAATATATGTATTGTAAGTGAAATCTACAGATGCAAATAGATAAAGTGTAATACAATAAACACTTTAATAAAATGAACACAAATGCATTTCCGGATGTTTTCTGAAACAACACTTCATGAGAAGCCAAATAGCTCAAAATTGACCAGTGCATGAAAAAATATGGACAATTTTTCCTTCTGTGTCTGGCCTTAATTAAAAGGATCAAAGACGAACTATTGCCAATGAAATCACCACATTTCGATGCGATCGCATGTCTTTTAAGGGGACCTAATTATGCCCCTTTTTACAAGACATAATATAAGTGTCAGGTGTCCCCAGAATCATAATGTGCCTGTGAATTTTCAGCTCAAAGTAGCCCATGGATCATTTATTATACCATGTTGTAAATGCCTATTTTGAGTGGAAGCAAAAACATGCTGTTTATCTTTAAATGCAAATGAGCTGCTGCAAGAAATTGCATATGTATATTAGATCTGAGTATTGAAGTGAAAATACCTATTGCTGTGTATGCTGTTAATATGAATTAAACAACAAAAGAAAAACAGAAAATCACTCACTGCTCTTGATTGAATAACTTTAGTAGCTTGAATCTGCTATTAAAAGCTCTGGCGAGGAGATAAACATGGTGGACTCTGTACAGCTCACTCAGGGGAGGAGCTAAGCTAATATGGCAGATTCAGTCACCTGTCGTGGGCGGGGCCTGTGCAATATGACGTCACTTTGCAGCACATTCCTGAATGGCTCATTTTGAAACAGTTTCAAATTTATGGGAAAAATAACAAATGGAGTGGATGGGTTTTTACCACAACAGGGTGGTTGTATCCTATACAGTATACACACTACGGACACCTAATTCGAACACATGTTCAAAAACAATATAAAAGAGAATTTTGCATAATGGGTCCCCTTTATATATATATATATATTTTTTTTTGGAGTGGTTTTCAATGTAGGAAGATGCTTTATGCCTGCTAAATTGTGTAGTTACTGCATTTAAAAGGAGGGCTGGCACGAGTCCTTGACATTGACAAACTAACTCCGAACATTTAGCTTCAAATAACTCAACAGCCATTTTTTAGTCTTTAGTGTTTTTGTCTCCTCTCTTGGGGTTTTTCTTATATAGACCTTCATAAATGATAACTAGAATGGTGTTCTGTCCAGTAATTATTTATAATTAGCTGAGATGCCGCAATGAAGCACTTGTTGGAGACCCAAGCCAATTTTAAGCACTCTGTCAAGGAGACCAGAGCATGTGCTAATAATTCTGACCTAATTCTGCCGTTCGCTGCATTGCATGAGGTCATCCACGACAAATGGGGATCTGCTGTCCCTATGGCAACCAAGGACAAATTGCTCTTTAATGTAAATATGCAGTATTTGTTTGTAATTGGTCCACGAGAGAGAGCGCGAGAGAGATAAAGACCTTGAAGCGCTTTGAATGTTTTCTGTGATTGGCTGGAGCCTTGCAGCCTTTTCTATGAGAGTAGATACAAACTTACTGTACACCAGGTACAACATTTTGAGACAGACACCGTTTGATCTTCTAAATCCCAACTCTGGGAAGCTCATTTTATCTCAAAAATGTTTTTATACACTACCGTTCAAGTGTTTCGGGTCGCTAAGATTTTTAAAAATGTTTTTGAAAGAAGTCTTTTATGCTCACCAAGGCTGCATTTATTTGAGCAAAAATACAGTAAAAGTAGTAATACTATGGAATATTGTTACTATTTAAAACAATAGCATTCTATTTTAATATAACGTTATTTCTAAAATGTAATTACCTGTGAGTTTTTCAGCATCATTACTCCAGTTTTCAGTGTCACATGATCCTTCAGAAATCATTCTAATATTTATTATTATTATCAATGTTTAAAACAGTTCATATTTTTGTGCTTCAAGACTTCAAAAGTACAGCGTTTATTTAAAATCTTTTCTAATATTATATATTTATTCACTGTCGCCTGATCAATTTAATGCATACTTGCTAAATAAAAGTATAAAAGTTTTTTTTTAATCTTACTGACCCCAATAATTATAATTTGTATTCACTGTAAAGTTTAAACCAGATTGAGAGGTCGGAATTTGGCGTGCAGGAAAAATAAACAATGACACACAATAATTTTTGTATGGGGTGAAACGGGGTGAAATGTTTGGGAAACGCTGTGATGTTTCTTTACTCTCTTGAAGCACAGTTGAAGATTAGACACCTGTTAGAGATCCAACTCTCTGTCTCTCTCCCTACGGGTTGAACCGGGCCAGAACTCGACCCTGCCTCTCTTTAACATCCAGATCTGTCAGTGAGCTCATCTTTGGCTTTCATCTGTGTGCTCAGCACCACTCGCTTCTAAAACAACCCCGCACATCTGGCGAGATATAAAATCCCATCTATAAATCTCATAGGAAAAAGAATGGACTTTATAAGATACTGTACCAGTTTATATGAGACGCTGTAAAGCTTATACTCCTCACTCTTTTGCCAGAACCTTTAAACCTCCCGTTATGCAGCCATCTGCACTCCACACACTGTACTAACCCACTAGCCACTAGCTTCACACACTATATACCACTATCATGCATAACAGACTACCCTCAAATTCTACACTTCACCCTTAAACCCTACAATCAGAAATAGCATGCTATAATACTATTTTAGAAGTGTGCAGTATGAATTTTGTGCACACAGTATATGACAATTTGCTATATGCATAGAAAACTTGAAAGCTGTTGCCAAAATGTGCAGTATGGAACCAGACACTGCATGGAATGTTTGTATCCCATAATGCAATGCGCCCTACTTCAAGAGGCTGCATCCTTCGAATGCGGCTTACAAATGCGTCCTTCGTTTCCCGGGCTGTGAAGGATAGAACGGATGCATCCCAAGATTCATTGCGCGACAGCATTTTTTGAGAGAAAATTCCAGATTACACTTTTAAATGTAAGCATTGTTTTTGAACTCAATAATGAATGAATATCTAATTATACAAATGTAAAAAAAAAAAAAAAGCTTCAGATTAAAGTTTCAAATGTTGACTTATATCCAGGGTTGGAAGGGTTACTTTAAAAATGTATTCTGTTATAGTTTAAAATGACTTCCTAAAAAGTATTGAGTAACGTAATCCAAGCACCACAATACGTAATACGTAATGTAATCGGATTACTTTTGGATTCCTTCAAGGTCACATGTAAATAGTCAAGTAAAACGCAATATTTAAGAGAATGATTGCGCATGCACTAGTAGGTAACTTTCAAAAAAGGTCGACTAGGCGACAAGAGCAATCCTCCATAGGCTAGACCGTCCCATTTAACAACGCTTGCGGTTCAACCTTCGCAGACTTCGAAGGAAACAATATTTTAAAAATTTAATAAAATTTCACAATATAACTGTTAGGGGTGGAACGGTACATGTATTCGTATTGAACCGAAACGGTACAGGCGTCACGGTTCGGTGCACGAATTTGCACGGAGAATACACGGTACAAATAAAAAAAAGCGATAAATTTCGCTCTATTCGCTTTTGGTGTGACTGTGAACGCAGCAATGAACAGGCTGAGATCAAGAATGTAATGCTGGAGTGTGTGTGTGTGTGTGTGTGTGTGTGTGCGCGCGAGAGAGAGAGAGAGAGAGGCGCGATTAATGGCCCTTACATAGTCAACGCATCGGTACGCATACGCGTGCGCAAGGCTACACATCGCTACGCTTCGGCCGCCATTATGCGTCGATGCGTAGCCAAATGTGTCATCCTAGTTTTTGATACGCGACGCGCCGATGCACGCAATACTATGCGTTGTCGGTGGGGGCGACATTGCAAGTAATGTACATAAAAAGGTATATTATTATGTTTACAGAAGAAGAAGATTTGAATACAATGGCGGGCGAAGAGGAAAAGTTATGCGAGCTTGTTCGTATACATCCTTTGTTGCCGCCGATGTAAAATCAGCAATATGCACTCCTCTTCAGTTGCCATTTTGATCTGAATATTACGTGACCCGACTCTAGACTCTACTACCCCCTGCTGCGCGATCGGTGTATTGCATTTCACGCATCGCCGGTGACGCTTGTGTACTATGAAAAGGAGCGTGTAGCTCGCGTCGCTCGCGTTGCTCGCGTTGACTATGTAACGGCGAGCGACGCGCTCCTTTTCATAGTACACAAGCGTCACCGGCGATGCGTGAAATGCAATACACCGATCGCGCAGCAGGGGGTAGTAGAGTCTAGAGTCGGGTCACGTAATATTCAGATCAAAATGGCAACTGAAGAGGAGTGCATATTGCTGATTTTACATCGGCGGCAACAAAGGATGTATACGAACAAGCTCGCATAACTTTTCCTCTTCGCCTGCCATTGTATTCAAATCTTCTTCTTCTGTAAACATAATAATATACCTTTTTATGTACATTACTTGCAATGTCGCCCCCACCGACAACGCATAGTATTGCGTGCATCGGCGCGTCGCGTATCAAAAACTAGGATGACACATTTGGCTACGCATCGACGCATAATGGCGGCCGAAGCGTAGCGATGTGTAGCCTTGCGCACGCGTATGCGTACCGATGCGTTGACTATGTAAGGGCCCTGACAGTGCGTGTGTGTGTGTGTGTGCGCGCGCGCGCGAAAGAGAGAGAGAGAGGGGCGCGATTAACAGTGTGTGTGTGTGAGAGAGAGAGAGAGAGAGAGAGAGAGAGAGATAGATAGAGAGAGAGAGAAAGAGGCGCGGGCGCGAATCGCGCGATCGAACTGTGTGTGTGTGTGTGTGTGTGTGTGTGTGCGCGCGCGTGCGAGAGAGGCGCGGGCGCGAATCGAGCGATCGAACAGTGTGTGTGTGAGAGAGAGGCACGGGCGATCGAACAGTGGAAACATAAAAATGTACTCCGTCATTTTTTTCATACAGGACATCATTAAAGTCCCCGTGAACCGGAAGTTGCAAACGACTTTTCTCCAGTGTTGTGACGTATTTCCGAGAGAAACGGAATACTAAATGAGGCAAAATGGTGGGCGTGGCTTTTTCCCCAACTAGCACCTGATTGGATCTAGAAAAGTAGGTGTTTTCATTCAGCCTGTCTACTGTCAGTTGGAGGGGCGTGGTTACGGATGTTAAGCAGACACCCAAACCGTCAAACCTACGTCATCAGGGAAGGTCCTCCAACGCAGAGGGGAGGGGAAATTTCAGATTTTGATTAAAGATTACGAAGCCAAAAAATTTTTTTGTGTGGATTGACTTGCATGGATGAATTGTTCACCACAAAACGATCAATTTAGGCAAACAAAGTAAGTATGGTCAATTTTGAATTCATGGGGACTTTAAAACTGCAAATTGTTTACTTTTATGTTTATGCAATAAAACACAACATTTAGGCTTTTGTCACACTCTAAACTCTTATCAAACTGTAACCTACAGCTGTTAACAAAAGTTTTTAATGGTAGTATTATTTTATACGGAAATCAATTATTTATAATTCAGATGAGAATAAAGTTAATTAGTTAATAATAGGTTAATTAAAATGAAGGAAAACAAATATATTGATCTGAAATAGCAAATTAATTTTAAATTCATTCAAGTACAATTACCAAACATATCTCAAGGTCTTTTCGTCTATTTATTAATTTAATTAATAAACTAATTATATAAAACTACTGTCAGTGCACTACAAAACTGGTTCTATGCCTTTATTAATAAAACTTATTTAAAAAATACAAGGCTTAAGACATTTATAAAAAAGCCTTCTATATTTTTGTTTTGCTATTCACTCCATTTTACCGAAATCGTACCGAACCGTGACGTCTGAACCGAGGTATGAACCGAACCGTGACTTCTGTGTACCGTTCCACCCCTAATAACTGTATATGTACTGTATTTTTGATCAAATAAATGCAGCCTCAGTGGGCATAAGAGCCTTCTTTCAAAAATGTTAAAATATCTTACCGACCTCAAACGGTACTGTATATTGCTCGGAATGTTTAAAACTTTCAAATACATATTTAAAAAGTGGATTTCAGTTTTTTTTTTCAGTTTTGGATTTCACAATAAAGGCTGCAATGTCAAATTTCATGTTTACAATTTTGTTGTATTGACATTATGTTCATTAAAAATATCGTTTTATCCATTATCCATTGTAGGATAATCAGTGTACCAAATATTTTTTCCATCATTCTGTATTTATTCTGTTAACTGTACTGTTCTCATTCACACTCCAGATCTCCCTGACGTCACATAGGCAGAAGTGAGGATCTTTACAGCTCCATGGCTGATTTTTAGCTTCAAACACGAGGGCATCAAGTTGATTTAAAGTGCCGGGAGTCTGCGAGCAGCTGGCCAGTTGTATTCAGACAATCAATCCATCTGCCAGCCAATCCCAGCGAATCTAACCGGCAGCGCGGGGGCACTTTGTGCCGCCCGTGAAGGTTTGTTCCACAACATTACGCTCCTCTTTAAGAGATGAATGCATGCGAGAGACATTTATCAAGAAGGGAAGACGTGAAATGAAATGCACGATGTTGTATACTCTACACCATACTGAGTTTCATCCATATCTGTCTTTACTTTGCCTTTTTTCCTTACTTCCTTTGCTTAACGAACAAAGGAAAGTTAATGAAGGAAGTCTACGGGCTGAAAATTTTTCACGTGCTCGATTTAGTTATGCATTTCCAACCTGTCATGATATGACTATACCCCGATTATCAAACACAGCACCTGTCCTGACTCATTTAGACGAAACTCACGTCAAGCTGTAGAAATTTTGAAAGTGCCGAATCAAAATGTGACATTAAAACAGCTTACAGTCACATTATATAAGGCTCCTCACAAATGTCAGAGCTGCAATAACCCAGAGCTCTAATTTCTCCTTCTTAAGGTCAGCAGGTGTGCATACATTTCTTCCGCTTGTTCAGAATGATCGATACCTCCATTGTTTTGAGTAAGGAGTTCAGCTGTCCACCTCACATATCGTGGTATCCGCCGGCCGGAGAGATAGAAAGCCCTCAGGGTTCACTGAGGTTTTAAAAATGCATCAGTTGGCATTTGTATCACTATCACAAGGTGACACATTCTGATGGTCTGATAGAGAAACTATATATAAAGATCTTGAACAAAAATATATGTACCTCTTGAAATAAATGTTAAGGGGTGCATACATTTTTGGTCAAGATCTTGTATTGACAAAGCAAGAGTCCAGCACTCTGTAAAGTCTCCTCCAGCACATCCCAAAGACTCTCACTGAATTTAAGGTCTGGACCAATGTTCCCTCTAATTTTTTTTCTTGCTGAGCAAAACTTTTTTCTATTGGGCGGACATTTTTCGCCACCTGAGCAAAAATATTCTTTATACCTGACCTGTACAGCATACGTAGAAACACAATGGTTTCAACATTCAGTTGTAACTTTTAACTTGAATGTGCCATTTCCCATTTCTATTTTATTTGACCCTTGATGTAACTTATTGGTATTAAATCATATTTTCGAAAAACAAGCAGTTAATTAAGAAGTCACTAAATGAAGCACATTTTAGGTTACCTGATATTTTTTTTACAGTGTAACTGTACAGTCTTTACCAAGAAATCCTATGAAAAATGATTTACAAAATCTTATGCAGGACAGTTCAATTCTTTACAATAATAGATATAGTCTGAAAGAAAAGTAAGCTGTTACACTGAGATGGTTTGGGAAAACCATAAAGTGTTTTTGTACAGTCAATTAATTGTGTACAGGAAGCATTAAACCATCAAAGTTAAATGATTGTTTATTGCTTATGAATTTCCAATATTTTCTTTAGCAGGGGGTTTCAAACTTTTTAATGGCAATGAGCCCTAAACAATACCCTTGTGAGATTCTTTATTTAGGCTTATAATATAATAAAATATAGGCCTAATATACTGTAATATAATATAAAAAACGAATTGAAGTATTTGAAGTGATATAATATATCAGTTTAAATGCTTCAATTTGTTTACATATTATATTGTTATAATATGAAAACAAACTGAAGCATTTAAATAGATCTAATAGCTAAATATTTCCAAGAAAAGTGAATATGTGAACTTTTTTATAATCTAACCATCCTTGAAACTCCCCCACACACAAAAACATATATTTAAACTAATGATGTATTTTGAGTTTGCACGCGGGTGGGTGTGTAATACCGTTCTGTGTCCATCAACCGTTATTTCCACCACTTTAATCAAACCACTCTTCTTTAAAACATTATGATGTGATTTTATTTCACATGTCTTTGCGTTTCTCGTTGCCTCTCGTATTGAGCTATTTGGTCCGCATACACGACTCACTGCCAATCACACGCGCTCACATCGTTCTCTTTCTATGAAACCTGTAAACTGCATTCACCAGTTTTAACTCTATAGCGGTTGACTTAGCGCAGCTTAGAGGGAACATTGTTCTGGACTCATGTGTGAAAATTATTCTTCATGCTCTCTCCCAACCATTCTTTCACAATTTGAGCCTGATGAATCTTGACATTGTCATCCTGGAATATGGCCATGATGCGTCTTCCTACATGGCTGTTTAAAAAATAAAAAGCTACACTCCATAAGTTAGGGTTAGAAGAACTGTTGCCAAACATATAACATGTTAGAAACATAATAATCACTGCAATAATGATCCAATCATAGACTCTTCGCAAATCCAAAAGTGATTTTTTTGTTGTTGTTTTGGCCGGGTGAAATTACTATATCAGCATTTTTTTCAACACAGATCAATATAACCTACATCTGTGTGAGAGAACTATCCAAGAACTATCCATGTGTTTCCTGTGCACTGTGTGAGATTGACTAAGCGAATGTCAGTCCGGAGTTCCCTTCTTTTATTTTTACAGGAACATTTGACCTGTTTCCCAGCTTGACTCATCGTTTCCAGTCTGGCATCCGCACACCTCCTTTGTTTCTTTGTTCCTCTCTTTATTCATCTTTCTTTTCCTCCTCATTTCCACCGCACACCTTCCAAACCGAGCCTAACCTTTAAAGCCATCGGCCACCGTGTCCATCCTCCCATTCTGTGGTCTCAGCAAAATGGTTCAGAGGCCACAAAACCAAAACAAAATCATCTCCTTTGGAAAATATTGTTGGGCCTTGGCCGATGTGTTCTTTCTGTCTGCTTCTGTAGTGCACACAAACACAGATGACTGTTTGCCGTCTCTTTGGCCCGCCAACAGCGCACGACTGGGAACGTCCTGCTTCCATGAGCTGAGTTATCTTTCCTTCTGTAGCCGGAAAGGATGTGGAGGGAGGCGAGGGGAGTATCTGAGGGAGTTTAGAGGAAATTTGGAAACACAAAAGGCTTGTAAGTGGGGGACGATAATGAATCCAGAGGTGTAGAGAACAGGCGTATACAGGATCATGTGGGAGTTTTCTTGTAAAGCTGATGAAGATTGAGTTATTGAATTATCATTGTGCTTCTCCAGGGGAACTTTAGCGCTGATGTGACCGCCTGCAGAGACCAAAGCAAACACAGTTACAGCCTGAAGTCTGTCTGTTTATCAGGACTGTCTGCGTTTATTTCTATCAGTATCTTTGTCAAGCTCTGGCATTTCTTCAATTCATCAGTCATTTTCTGCACTATGGTTCAGTCACTTTCAAAGAGAAAACGGTGAATCTCACGAAAAAAAAAATTTCACCCAAAATATGAACTAAATATATATATATATATATATATATATATATAACTAATATATATATATGTATATGTCACATATACTAATTTATATAATTACTAATTAGTTATATTTAGGTTGAAAATGTGCTTGACTCTCATTCAATGTCACTGCAATTTTTCCAAGCGAAATGTGATTTCTTTATTTTTTTATTATTTATATGATTATTTTTTGTTGATAAATCTAAAAAAAAATTAGATTAGAACATTCTTATGTAGTTGAACTGTCCATTCAGTTAGAAAAGAGGTATTTGTTGTACACATTTTACATAGAGAATATAAAGAAGAAGAATATACAGAATAAATTTTGCCACAAACGCAGAGATCTTGCCAGCAGTTTCTTTTTATGGAAATTACTGTGTAATTATGCTCTGGGATTGTTAGAGATATGATTGTGGTTGTGCTTGCATTCAACTGGGATCATATCACACTTTTTTTTTTTTTTTTTTTTTTTTGCTTCTCTTGATGACCACTTATAATCTTAGTAAAGTTTTGTTTTGCTCCAAAGTAATATTAGTCAAGTTTATTGCCTCATTTAGTTTCTCATGACCATTTTTTCAACCTCTCTCTGACCATTAGACTTAAGCATGCTCCTTTTTTTGCTTCTGCTTCTGTGTAAACATCCTCTTTGTGAAAATGCAAAGCAGTGTTTTGCTGTGGGTTTGCAAGTCTTGCATTCTGATAGTATAGCATATCCTTTTATTCACAAGATCAAGGCAAATTTGATTTCTCATATGGCACATTTAATGGTTTTTCCTGTACATGTGTGCATGAGTGTGTCTCCATTGTGTGATTGGGTTTGACATTCCCAGGACAGGAGTGTATTAATGTCATGCTTCCCGTACCTGCTGATGGTCTGGGATGTCCCACTGCACTCAACAAGACATTCATTTACTGAGCGCCTTTCACTGTGAGGATTTAGATGTGTGTCATGGTTAGAATATGGAAATGTTTTACATTTACATAGTAACTTCGTCAACTAACTCTCATTAACATATCAGTAGACTGTCTGCTAACACTTTATTTTGATGCTCCACCAACAGATATTCTGAATAAACTGTACATGTCAACTTATAACCTGAAATCTAACACCTGACAGTCTGCTAATACTCTAATGAGAGTTAGTTGACATGTAGTTGCAATTTGCAGTTACTTTTATTTAGTAGAATGTCTAAAGTGGATCATTGAAATAAAGTGTCACCTTATCAATGGTACTACAAAAAGATTGATATAAATAAATACAATATAATAATAAAAATAAATACTTATTTTGCAAATAGAATGTGGTATAAAGTATAGTATGCAGTGATTTCGATACTGCATATGACCTGTTTATGGCCTCAATCTCTCTTATCATCGTGGCTCAGTCTTTTATGACCTGCTGTCTCATATGGGCTGATCTCTGAAGCTCTCATTGATGTGGCAAATTCACTGTGAAATGAGAAACTTTCTCCTGCGTGCTTGTGTTGATGAGTCAGATGGTCTAGTCTCCTGCATGTAGAAACAGACAGCTGTCCCATTTGCAACTGATTTGTTTTTGTTTTTTTTCAAACTGATTTGCACTTTCTCTCAACAGGACTAATTACCTTACAAGCTGACTGATGGGGAAAATCAGCGAATGAAATTAATAATGGTAAGAGTGATATCATCCATCTTTGGCAGCATCTCAGGGGAAGCAATTTAGACCTTTTTATACACGCAACAAGTGTCAATTAAAATGACTGACTGTGACACCCGTAGCTACAGATGCTGAGAGAGGATTTGAACATGAAGTCAATGGAGGCCTGAAGCAATTGCTGTGTTTTTGAGTGTATTGTTGACACCCACCCACCACTGAAAATGCACTGCATAAAAGTTCATTTATTTCTTCC